AATCGACAACGTTACTTATATTCGTAAGATTTACTGGTAGTCTCGAAACCCTACTTTCTTACGAATATAATAAATATCAATTTAGCAACAATAGATGGAGTAAAATTAGCCTTAGTCTCATCATCATCGGGTTTTGAAATATGATCGTTCTGCGGTACCAGTCCTCTACTCACACAAGGCAAACAAGGCCTGCCCTAATTAACATTTATTTCCGAAATTGGCCAAGCTATTAATATTCAGTATGAGTATTTTTATTATGGATGTAACACCACATTTTAATGGCTGCTACACATTATTTTTGCTGTTATACATTTGCGAAAAGTTATTTTCATGCAGTTGTTGAGATAACAACCTTTAGTTTAAGAAACAAACACGACCAACATTCTGTCGAAGTAAATTTCTAACCTTTCGATTTCAACCATTAAACTATACACTCTACTGATATACTACTGAATCATTCGAAATATATATTTAAAACTAAGCTAGCTTTCAAATCAGAAATATTTTTATGCTAAAATTTTTAGTTACTTTTGATTAGTTCACTGAGAATCTAGCGAATTTATCAAATCTACAGACTCTTAAATCTAGTTAATACGCATATATCAAAAGCCAGCTTCATCATTTTGTCCATGACAAAACGGTCACTGCATCAAGTGGAATTTCAGAAATAGACAATAGCCACGTCACGAAAATGCACTTTGCATGATTATTTTGCTTAAGTTTAAGCGTTTAGGGACTGGGAAATTACCATTAAAAGATATAATGGCTTTGTAAATGCTGTAAACGTAACCCCAGTAGGTTTATCTACAAAATCAGATTCTCGAAGCAACCAGGGTCTAATAATCTTGACACCCCAATATATCACTCCCAACCCACGTTTCGATAGGCGCCCATTGCTCATGACTCAGTACCACAATTCGCTTTTTTAGAAAGTAATGATTATAACGTTCACATTGGTTTCCTTTCTGACTCTAGGCCTGATTGCCAAAGCGATTTTGAGCACGAAGGAGCGTCGGATGGTGCTCTCAGACATTTACCACTGGATCCAGGTCAACTACGCCTACTTTCGCACTCGGGGTCCGGGCTGGAGGAACTCCATCAGGCACAACCTCTCCCTGAATGACTGTTTCATCAAAGTCGGTGAGTGTCATTCAGAATACATTTCAATGGCTTTTGAAATAATATACAATTGATGGGGGTACTGTCAATCCCAAGCAATTTAGGTTAGTTTCTTGGGCTTAAAATTATTAATGTCATAAATTAAAGGCAGACACACATATTTTAATCGAAGGTATGAAGACTAGGATAGTATGGCTTTTTGTATTGTCGCGGTGTCATTTCGTTGTATTAAAGAAGTTTGACCTTGGTTTCACAACTTGATCATATTATTAGGAAGACCTAAAGGAACGCATCTTGTCCGGAGTCCATAGTATGCATGATTATTTCCAGAGTCGGACTGTGGACTTGGTACATTCCAATATGTTTCGACGGCATCGTAGTCGACATCATCAGTTGA